ACATTTTTTCAAGTGCATATAAATCTAAGTTCTCACCAAGCAGTTGAGGGTGGTCATCTCTGGGAAGAGCTATGAGAGGGACTGTCAGGAGAGAAGAGGAGCATAGACTAGAACTTTCATTATCTTGACACATGTCTGCACTTGTTGAAATTTTGCAATGAATGTCTTCTATAATTTAAAATTTTAATGTAGTGATGCATTCTTAAGTTGTTGATTCTTATATTAAATCCACAAAGTATAAAGAAAATAATAAAAACCTCTTTTTTCATGACCCTGTGACATTTTGAAATAAAAAAGGAAAAATGAATCTAGCAAAGTTAATTCAGCAGAAAATATGGATAAATAAGAAGGCAGGAAGGTCTCTAGGGAGGAGAGGTACCTGGCTTTGTTTCTCAGTCCTCTGCCATTTACTGTTTGAGCCTGAGAAGTCATTCATCTGGGCTCTGATCCAGTTAGGTTTTCTCCATTCCGCAGGTAAGGCTGACCTACTTTCCATACAGGAAAAGGAGAAAGAAAAAGAATGCTGGAAGAGTTCAGCTTAAATGGAAATGTTATTGTTAGAAGGACCATGAATGCATACCAGAGTCCATCAGAGATGCATCAGAGTGCATCTCAGAGGACCACCAAAAAATGTGGAATACTCTTTTGTAGAAATCTGAAACATTGAAAGTAGGCATCAGCAACCATGTGGCCTGGTAGAAGGAGGGAGAGAGAGAGAGAGAGAGAGAGAGAGAGAGAGAGAGAGAGAGAGAGAGAGAGTGTGTGTGTGTGTGTGTGTGTGTGTGTGTGTAACTTAAGAACATTTAACAGCACCAAAGTATTAAGGAGGAACTTGAAGTAACTTGGTAGATTTGGGAAGTATTAATGAAAAGATGCTTCAAGAAGGTGGGAGAAGGGTACACACATCTATGAGGTGGTGGTAAGGGTTATTGTGATGGGGTATTAGGTAGTTTTGTTACCTATTTCAAAGAGAGTTTCTACAAGGAATATAACATCCGTGTTTTACTGAGGTGTGGTTTATCTTCTGAGGCAATGTCAAGAGACACAAGATCAAATAAGCTTGACACCACCCAGTTTAGCACTCAGCAGTCTCTAGAAGCTGGGGCTAAACTGCAGCTTGGCTAATGAGAAATCACCATCCTCTGCCAATGCCTTGGGGCCCACCTCTTCCTCTTTGGCAAACAGGATACAAAGGGAGCTCAAAGCAGAGTGGGGACCTAGAGGGTCATCAAGAGCATTCATCATTTTACAAACTCCCCACCAGGCCTTTCCAGAAAACAGGCAGGCAGGGTTTCACAGTCTTCTTAGAATCCAAGCCAATGGCTTCGTGCTTCAACCTGGGTTAGGTTTTAATGATACCTAAAGGATACTTCACACATTGACTTACCATTGGCAGTGAGAAAGAAGAGGAGATGAGCCAAATACAGCCAAGCTGTATCCTCTCATTTACTCTCTGGGCGTGAAAGGAGCGATTGTAAAATTCAGATGAAACTAGAAGTTAAGATTCAGAGCTCCCAGCATAAACATTTTGGTCTGTTATTGAGTTCACTTTCACCAGTCAGACATAGAAACACAATAAGCCCATTGTTCTGTGGATGTTTGTGCATTTCAGTGGTTTAGCATGCTCAGAAGTAGGTTGTCTCCATTATGTCCTTTCTAGCTGGTTAATTTTTAAAAATTTGTCCCCCTTTCACTGTCTTGATTTGACTGAGATGTGGTTCATTTTCTGAGTCAATGTCAAGAAGCAGAGGCATAAGATCAGTTCTAGCTTCACACTGTCCAGTACAGAGCCCAGTGGTCTCCACAAGCTGTCAGCCTCATAGCTGATCTGTCTGTAGTCATGTACCCCTCAGTCGATTCATTACACTGCTGGAGTCTTTCTTCCAAACTTAGCAATATGTTACTTTACTGTTCTGAATTGTTCACTGACATTCAGGGCCTTTTATGATTTCCTCACTGCCACTTTCCTGGTGGCCACGTAGCTTGCATTTTTTCCTCTCCCTGCTCCATCTTGTCTTCTGGATACAATACTCTAGCTACTGAAGATTATTTGTGGTTCCTCAAAAATGCAAACCTCTGTCTTGTCTTTGTGCCTGGAATACCTTTTTGTAATCACTGTGTCAAGACAGCTATACCACGTGTCATCGCTAAGATATTCCCCTAATCTCCTTTTATTGTGTACCATTTCCTCACACTCTGGAAGCATATGAGATTTGCTTCTGTGCCACTACCTATACTTTTCCAGCTGGCTAGTAACTATATAGGTCTGTCTCCCTGACTCACCTGGAAAACACCTTAAATGTAAAAATCTTGTTCTATACATTGCTCCTCGCAGCATGCCTGGCACTAGTTGGTACTCCATGAATGTGTGATATGAAAGAATGAATACAGATGCCCGGGCTGTCTGGGACTGTGGCCCTTCTTATTTGTGCTTTCCTGCACAACTGGAATGACAAGCTTGTATCACTGCACCTAGCCACTGGTTGAGATGGGGTCTTGCAAAGTTTTTTCCCAAGGAGGCTAAACAATCCTCCTGATTTCCACCTCCTGAATAGCTAGACTTACAGGCTTAAGCCACCATGTCTGACCCAAATACATACTTTGAAACTGACTGTCTCCATCCCCAGTTTGTGGGCATGTGTATGTGGGTCTTTGTTTTGCCCTCTGTGATGTGAGTTAAGACATAGTCAGCCTGCTATCAGTGAAGATGAATAGGACAAATGATGTCAGGGTCATATATAAGTTAGCGGAAGGTTCTTGCCACTCCTCCTGGAGCATCATTAAGGAACTGTCTATTGGTTCTGCCTGGAGGGTACATGAATTAAAACTCCTGTGTTGTTCCAGGTCAGCTGTTGCCAGCAAACCGCAATACACCGAGTCCCATTGATCCTGACACCATCCAGGTCCCGGTGGGTTATGAGCCAGACCCGGCAGATCTTGCCCTCTCCAGCATCCCTGGGCAGGAAATGTTTGACCCTCGCAAACGCAAGTTCTCTGAGGAAGAACTGAAGCCACAACCCATGATAAAGAAAGCTCGTAAAGTCTTCATCCCTGATGATCTGAAGGTAAATTGGAACTGGTAATCAGGCTTTGGGCAAAATGAAGAGTGAAAAGAAGAGGCAAATTAAAGGGATGACTCCAGGAAGGTCATGTAAGCTAGTGAGTGAAGGACTTGTGATTTCCGATCCTGTTTCTTGGCATGTGACTTCCTGGCATTTTGCTTCCTCTCTGGGTGTCTTCAGAAATAATGCTTTCTTTCATGTCTTAATACTGAACAGAAACAGGGAGAGGCAGCAAATGTTGGAGTGATGTTATTCCCATGAAGGAATCAAGCTTGCTATTCTCTTCAAAGAATCCCGCAAACTATAACCTATTTATCAAACCATAATCTTTCAAGATTGGAAAGAGAAGCATTGTTACTACCTTCCCTTTGGGGGATTTGTTGATAATCAACTCTGCAGTTTCCCCGGCCTCAGGGGATAACAGAGTTTGAACCTCTGTTCACATTGCCAACCTTGGATGACGAGGGTAGGATAGATAACTGTGTATGAAGCTGGAGGATCCTGTGACACTATGTATGCCATGCTCACTTTGTATGGCAAGTAACCATCACTTGAGTACGTCAACAAGAGGTTAATGCTGAGTTTGTTTTCTCTGCTAAGTTGAAGGGGACACAACATTTATAAAAGGAAATACATTTACCTTAAGAGGTTAAATACAACTTCAAATTAATCTTAATGACACATTTAATGATACCTGAGGATGAGAATTCTTTCCAAAATCATGACACATCTGCTAAAGCCAACATAGAGTCATTTACGGTTAGCTATTTCTGTTTCTGCTTTTTTTTCCCATCGTGAAGACAATAGAGAGAGGATTATACACATGCAAGTCATTGGAACCAGGCCTAACTAGCTCTTTTCTAAAGTCTGACCGCATTTCCCGAACTTAAATATGACTTACTTGATAGATACTCCAAGGATGGAAAAATGGGAGTTTGTGGCATTGTGTGAGCTGATTTAGACCAGTTCCTCCTGATTTTTGTAAGAACACAGGAGGCAGAAGTACCTAGCAGATCTAAATCACGGCTGTCATCTACACATCTGAGAGCACCTTAATTGTTGCAGAAAATGGGAAAGTGTCAGGGATGAAAGGGACAGTGGAGATTCATTACTGCAAAGTTGCCACTTTGCAATCAAGGAGATAAGAGAAGCAGAAAGGGGAATTGAGGTGAACTCTGCTTTTAGAATAAGCCTGGCTCCCAGGTTGCCCTGCTTCTAGGAAGGTCACGGCAGCACAAGGGATACAATAGGGGCCCTTGGGTGACAAATCAAGAACTGTCATCCTGAGAATCATAAAAGGAAAGTGCATGGTAAGATATGAGAAAATATAAACTACTCAAACCATTGATAGTTAGACTGGAGGGGCTAAGACAGGGACACTATAGAATTTGGTCCAGGACAGACAAGTAGGTACCTTGTTTGAGTTGGATGCCTTCCATGCTCTTATGTTCTTAGTGATCCATTCCTATGTGTATTTCAGAGCTATATCTGTTAACCTAAACCAGGGAACTGTTCAGCTTGGATTTCCTCTTGCTTGGAGGGTAGTTAGAAGGATTGCTACTGAGTAGTAGACAGAACGTCCAGACCTTCTCAGTCTTCAAATTTACATGTTCAAAGCAGAGAGAAAGATTGCTTAATAACCTAGGGTAACCTTAGCAACAAAGAGGCCATGTGAAACCATCTGTTATGGAATTATACGTATCACTGCTGTCATGGCTAGGTCTGATCTTTTCACACAGTAGGTGGGGAATGGGCAGGAACATTCTCCTGCTATGTGCCTTTGGTTTTTTTTTTTTTTTTTTTTTTCAGTTGTGTGTGAAGCCTCAAGCCACAGACCATAAGCTGGTGTGAAGCAGGAAGAAGAGCTATAGCATGCTCTCCTTCCTTGAAGAGGACGGAGCTGGAGTGGGTGGGAGAAAAGGTGTTTGTGGCCTTCAGTGAGTGGAATGTCACCTTCCAAAAATGGTCTTCCCCACAGCTGCCTGAATTTCTTCTCTGGAGCCAGTTATTTGGGTTAGCATGCATCCCATGAGAGAATTAAGGCATGGCATACTGGGAGTCCTAACTGAAAATCAGATTAATCACCTTGGTTTCTTAATACTTTTAAGGATCCATTTATTTACCTGGCATGTTTTCCAAGTGTCAACATGTTCCAAGCTCTGTATCCTTGGGGATACCCAGATGAGCCAGTACCAACACTGTTTGTGGCCTCATGGAACTTCTAGTCTGTCAAGGAAGAGGAAATGTTGACCTGTGGCGAGGGGACAGGGCTGAGTGGGTTCTTGCTGAGTGAGGGTGACTGGGTTGCAGATGGCATAAACACTTGGCAGGTAAAGGAGAAGGGGACAGGATGTAGTGCCAAATTAAGCAACCCCACTCAGACCCAGCTTTCCCATGTACCCAAACATTCTGGGGTGACATAGGAAGGCAAGGTGGTTTTTCTTGGCCAGGATATTCATTCCATTGCACCCCTGTTCCTTGCTCCCCTCCCACCTGAGAAGTTTATTTTCTATTCCACACCTTTGCTAGCTCATCTACATGTGCGGACAGGTGAGGCTTGGAAATGAAGCTCTTCAGAAGTAAGAGGAGCTCTAGGTAAGAGACAGAAGTTGGTTGTTACTCTGAGGTCAGCTGCCGAATCCCTGGTCCTTAAGATCTGGTCAGGATTGTCAAAGACCACCAAGTCCAAGGCCTATGGTGAAATCCCCCTCCCTCCCCTGCCATAAACAGTTTCTACAATTTCCCAGAGGCTTGTTCCCATATACTTCCTCACTTCCTGGGCACCTGTCCCCTTGTATGTAGGTTCTGATCCATCCTGAGTCAGCTCCTCTTCACAATGCTCTTGGAAACCACTCCTGGCACACTGACCAGTATGATAGATTTCCTGCACTTCAAAGCAGGTAGGGTGGTGAATTACATCCAGGTGATACAAACGACCTCCATTAGAAGTGGAGGCTTCACTGTTTTGACTATGTCTTTGGACCCACGTGCACCCCTGTGATATCATTGGCTCTTCTGGCTCTCCTCAGCCTCTCTCCCTTTCTTCTAGTCCCCCCACTCTTTGAGAAACACAAGCAACAAATTATAATAGTAACCCTAGAATATCTGTCCAAGCTTACTCATCCACATATTCCTCAAAGGGCAGCCTCCTCCCTAAGAATTCTGGTACTAGGGCCAGGCACAGTGGCTCATGCCTGTAATCCCAGCTACCACAGAAGGCCAGCCTGGGCAAAAGGTAGCATGACCCCATCTCAACCACTGAGTCTGGTGTTGTATGCCTGTGATCTCAGCTACCAGGAAGCCATAGGTAGGATTGCTGTCTAGACCAGCCAAGTCAAAAATATACCTTAAAAAAAAAAGCAAAAAAGGCTGAAGGTATGGTTAGAGTGTCTACCTAGCAAGTGCAAAGCCCTGAGTTCAAAACCCAGTACTGCCAAAAAAATTTCCACCTGCTATTATGAAGATCATTTTTTCATCCTGTATACATATTATGAAATGTATACAAAGCCAGGAGAGCTTTATAAGTAAGATGACAGTGCCAGCTTGTGATGAGCAGACAGAAAGTGCCTGCACACACTTTCCATCTCACCCGCTGTGTCTTTGTGCAGAGTGCATGGCTGCTGAAGGTAATAGGCAGGTCTGGGGGTGGACCACTGATCTTGGACTTCCCTTACAGTCTTGGGCTCTACCAAGTGACTCCTCCAATGCTTATGGCCTCTTGGAATCCTAGGGGAGGGGAGGGATTGGCCTTACCTATTTGTTCTGGGTGTTAGCTTTACTAGAATTGAGGGATTTGTTGTAGCAAGTTGTTGAAAAAGTTGCAAAATTCACTAGGCAGTACATTGATGAATTGGGCAGGTCTAAAAGAAGATTCTTCTCAGTCTTCCTAGGAAACTTCCCCTTTCTTTTTGGTAGGAGAGAGATAATGAGAGAAAAAAAAGGGATTGCCTTTCAGATTGGCCACAGGTAAATATTACCCAGGGTAATTGAGGTCCAGAGAGTTGTTAAACAGGAAATTAGAGTAAATTATTTAAATACAAGACACCAATGTAAGTATATTGATTAGTGGCAAGTTAAAGGTATTTTTTCTTTAATTTTTATTTTCAACTACCAAAGTGTACATGCCCATTATGTAATATTATGATAGTTCAGAAGGATATAAGCTAAAAAGCTGAATGATCCTACTTCTCCCCTTTGCCTCTCTACTCCAGTCTCCTTTCTAGAGGCACCACGCTTATACCTTGGTATACATCCTTTTGGGGCTTCTTTCTATGAATAAATAATATTACAATTTTTAAATCAAACCAGGATGAAACCATGCATATTTATCAACAGATTACCATCATATCCACCCACATAGTAACTATATCACAAACATCTTTATAGTTCCACTAGGTCCTTATATTTAACAATTGCAGACTATCCCTTTCAATGATTATCATGATGTAGTCATTAAATCTCCTACAGACAGTTATTTTTTTTCTGATGTAAACAATGCTACAGTAAAACTTTGTACCCTTGTTTGTGCACATGCATGAAGACTGCTATAAGATAAAATCCTAGTAATGGAGTTGCTCTATCAATAGTATATTGATTAAGATATTGTGAGATATTGCCAAATTGCCTTCCAAAAATATTGTTCCAACATATATCAAAAAAGCATATGGGTACCCATGGAAGAAAAAGACGATTCTTAAATTTTTCAGCCAAGAGAGTGGAGAAAGTTGGAATGGAATTTAGGGTGTGAGGCAAGCCACTCACTTTCATTCAGCCTCATTTGGGCACAGGCTCTGTTGGTAAAGAGAGTAGGAGCCTGTTATGACAGGTTGGTTCCTTGCTCCAGGAAGGAAGCCATGGCTTGTGGACCATTCTCTCAGACATGCACAAACCATAAAGGAAGGAGACAGGAGTTAAGAAATGTGGGCTGGTGTGTCAATGCCACCCTGAAGGCTGCCAGCACCCTGGCTGACACCCAGCACTGCTGAAATCTAATATCTTGTTTCTTTTTTTCCTTCTGTAACTAATGAGCAGGATGACAAGTACTGGGCAAGGCGCAGAAAGAACAACATGGCGGCCAAGCGCTCCCGCGATGCCCGGCGGCTGAAGGAGAATCAGATTGCCATCCGGGCTTCGTTCCTGGAGAAGGAGAACTCGGCCCTTCGCCAGGAGGTGGCTGACTTGAGGAAGGAGCTGGGCAAATGCAAGAACATACTTGCCAAGTACGAGGCCAGGCACGGGCCCCTGTAGGATGGATGGCATTTTTGTGGGCTGGCTTTTGAATAGATGGACAGCTTGTTTCCTGCCTGGTAGCACCACACCCAACCTTCCTGACATCAGTACTTCACCAGAGGCATAAACACAACTGACTCACATTTTGGTGTGCATCTGTGTGTATGTGTGTGTACATTTGCTGTGCCCTCATGTGTGGTCAGCGGTGTGTGTGTGTGTGTGTGTGTGTGTGTGTGCGCGAAGTCCTTTGCACTTGTCGTTTTTAGACAGTCTTCTCATTGTCTTTTAGTTTCAAACAAGAAAGGTGCCATGTTTTTACTAGACCTGGGAGACCCGTCATGGGATTCTCTCCCACTCCTGCCCTTTCTGCCTTGCTTCATGTTCCAGCTCACCACTTTACCAGGGCTCTGATTGGGCTCACTAAGAAGGGCCTGGTAAAACAGTGGATCTCAGTTTTTCAAGAGCAGGAGAGCTCTTGTTTCTGTTTAATCTGTAAGTTACCATTTCTAATAAGGTGCACAGAATACCTTAGCACTACACTGCAGCTCTCTTCATTTATAGGTTGCTTTCCTCACTTTTTCAGCGTTGGTGATAATCGTATTCAAATTTAAAGTGCTGTTTAGATTTGCTAGATCCCATATTTACTTAACTGCTCTCTACTGTTTCCTTTTAATTCCACCAACCGATAAGTAAGAATATTATTATAGAACACAGAGTGTGTTTTTGCACTGTCTGTACCTAAAGCAATAATCCTATTGTACGCTAGAGCATGCTGCCTGAGTATTACTAGTGGACATAGGATATTTTCCCTACCTAAGAATTTCACTGTCTTTTAAAAAACAAAAATTAAAGTAATGCATTTGAGCATGACCAGAACATCCTCAGGACAGGAAAGAAGAGGGCAATGGGAGGTCTAAGAATAAGAGGTTAATTTATTAGTATGTAAGCCAAAAACTGCATCTTGAAATAGCCTTTGACATTGGTATGTTTGATATTGTTGTCTCCCCTTTCCCAAACTCACCCCTCTCCCACTTTTCTAGTCAACTTTTTCCATATCCTTGATATGCAAAACAACTCAATTACTTAAGATTCAGTTCTCCCTATTTTTGTACATTTTTTGTGAATTATGCTTTGTGGTTTTTTAAAAATCAGTTAATTAAGTTTAAAAGTTGATGTTCTGTAAGACTCTTCCTCGTGGTGTCATTTCTGAAAGCCTCATAAATTAATTATTCTGGAGCTCATGTTTCTTATTCTCTGTTTTTGAACGTATGTGCTCTTATGAAGTAGACTTCTGAAAAATGAATGTAAAAGACACTGGCGGATGGTGTTGTCACAAACTGTGGTTTATCCAATCAATTGAAATGTTTACTATAGACCAAAAGGAGAGATTATTAAATTGTTTAATGTTTATACAGAGTAATTATAGGAAGTTCTTTTTTGTACAGTATTTTTCAGATATAAATACTGACAATGTATTTTGGAAGACATATATTATATATAGAAAAGAGAAAGGGAAAACTATTCCATGTTTTAAAATTATATAGCAAAGATATATATTCACCAATGTTATACAGAGAAAAAGCACTTGGGAGTTTTTGAAGTCTTTAATATTTTAAGCCTATTACTGACACATCAGCATGTTTTCTGCTTTAAATTAAAATTTTATGACAATATCGAAGCTTGCTTGCCATGACGAATCCTGCTCCAACACTTTCTTGTTCCTTATTAGGTCTCAGAAAGAAGTCAGTTAACATCACCCAAAAGCACAAAATGAATTTTAGTCAAATATTTATTGGATGATACAGTGTGTTTTAGGAAAAGCATCTGCCACAAAAAATGTTCACTTCGGAATTCTGAGTTCCTGGAATGGAGTGTTCCTTCCAGTGCCCCAAATGCTTTTGTTCTCCTCTTTGGGTCCATGCATCTCAGGCAGAATAAGGTCGACATCGGTGCTATGTGTACGGTTTATAATTTGATAGATGTTTTGACTTTAAAGATGATTGTTCTTTTGTTTCACTAAGTTGTATAATGTTAAGATATTCTGCTGTTACTGCAAAGAAACATTTTTGTGTTAGGTTTAAATCCCCTTTCATCAATGGAGTTTTCTAGTCTCCTGCCTCCTCAGTGGATTCTTCAGTGATCTGGTGGTCTCCTCCTCACTCCATCAGGCTTCTCTCTATTGTTACCATTTTGGGAAAGGTGACCTATAGGGTATTCCTACTGGGTACCCATTTATTCCAAGCCACAGATGATGAGTACTAGAATGGAAATACATTGCTTAGGTAAATAACTAATATAATAGGCAAAATCTTTGGCTAGCTTATGTAGAACTGAATAAGAGACAATTCAGTGAAAGCCACAAGTGGACACAGAGTTGGCCTTTTTATGGATGAAGAGGATAATTACAGAATTGTTAAATGGTAGTACTCATTAAAGCAAAGAAAATCATGTCTGAGTAGAGAAGTATTGAAGAGTTGCATCTGAGACCATTCAGATTTATGGAAGTATCAAATGGTAGCTGAAAGAAAACATATGTGATCAGTGTTTCTTCTTGGGATTAGGTTGTTTGTATTGAATGAACATCACAAATCTTTTCTGCAGAAGAAATTGAAAGATAATGACAAAACTTGCTCTTTTGTGTGCCAGGAGAGGTTTTAGAAACCTACCTTGTCTTGGAAAATTCAACACTTTTGAGTCTGTACAGGTGCCTTATATATAGGTCATTGTATACACACAACACACACACTTCATTCCTGGACTGACTGCCTCTCTGTCCAAGGAAATTAACTGCAAAGAAGGCAATAATTCTGGTAAATGGAGTGGGAAGTTGACTTGAAGCAACTTCAATTCGGGGTAAAATGAGTGTCTGCAGGCTGCAGCTATTAGGAAATGAAAGCTTGCATCCTTTTCATCCTAAGCATCTTTCAGAGACTAAGTAGTTGGGCTTTATAAAAATAAATGCAAGTCTTATCATTCCAACATCATTCAGATACAATTTGTTATGAGCAGCATAGGAGTTCCTGAAAAGGTCACATCATCTTTTCTTTTGACTAGATTTGCAAAGAAAGGCAAATGTTGATCAGCCTTTCTTGTTGTTCCTGCTCCTGCTACCTTGAAGGGACAGGTAGGAGACGGAGGAAGGCTATAAATGATCATCACCTACTCTTGAGAAAGTGGCCACTTTGGATCATTCAAAAACCCACATCCAGCAAGGCTGTGATAGGCCTTTCTCTTTGGATGCTACAGGCCTCCAAAGACCCATCCCTGGAAGCAGGCAGATGTTTGTGTGAGGAGAGCACAGTAGAATTTTGGCATTGGATGGGTGGTTAGCTGTATAAGCTAACCCAGCACCTCCTTCTAACCACTGATTTTGTTTGGGAACTCACAATAATTTTAAACATCTAGGGTCAGTTTTCAGAAGGGTCAAGGAGAATTTTAGGTGGTACCCTTTTCCCCTGCTTAAGGGTGAAACATCAGACATTGTATAAAATGCAAAGTTAGACTTTGGTTTTTCCAGAAGTTCGTCTCATTTTCCCCCCTTAATGTTCCTTTTAGGAAAAGTCACACTTAATCAGAGTTAGTGAGATCCCAAGGCAGTGGCCAGCTTGGCTGCATGGGGCCTGTGGAGGCTTGGATTTAACACTGGGGTCAGCCCCCTGCAGTGACTGAGATGAAGGGTTATGTGCTCCGCATGGAAAGCACTTTCTGCTCTCAGTGTGCTCACTTCCTGCCAAGGGCTCCTAGGTACCCCCAACTGGTGAGACCAAATTCTCCTCCAGATGTTTGCTAAAATTAATGTCATTTAAAAATGAGTGAACTCATTTTAAAATTGGATTTAGTAACTAAATTCAAAGGATCTTGAGGAAGCCAAGTGTTTGTGTGTGCATGTCTGTGTAATTTTTGAGCACCTTACCCAACACAACAGTAACTCATTATTCTTTTGACAACACCACAGAGATGGCATCTATTATACAGGTACAAGTTAACATGAGGTTAGCTTAATTGTCTGCCATGGGATTGGTTGTATTTATGCTGTTAAGTCCAAACCTTTATCTGTCTATTATTCTAAATGTTTAATAAACTTTGAATTTTTCCTTTCTTTCATTTATTTTTGTTAATAGCTAGCAATTGATTTCTGTTCCCACCTCCATAACCAAGACACTATTTATAGAGGTTAATTATGTAGATGATAAAATGATAATACTGTATAATTAGTAATAAATTAACATTTATTGAGTTCTTATGTGCCAGACACTGTACTATACACATGGAACATACCAACCCTATGACATAGGTACAATTACTATCCCCACTTACAGAAGAGGAAATTGAAGATTAGTCAGGTTAAGTAATTCACCTAAAGTAGCCAGGGCTGGTGGCTCACATCTATAATCTTACCTACTTGGGAGGCTGAGATTCGGAGCTTCATGGTTCAAGGTCAGCCAGGGCAAAACGTTCACAAGCCCCCATCTCAATCAGTAGCTGGGCATGGTGTTTTGTGCCTGTCATCCCAAGCTATGTGGGAAGCTGGGATTGGAGAATTATAGTCTAGTTCAGCCTGTGCAAAAAGCAAGACCCTATCTCCAAAATAACCAGAACGAAAAGGGACTTAAGCTGTAGAGCACTTGCCTCACAAGCATGAAGCCCTGAATTCAAACCCCAGTACCATTAAAGAAAAAAGTAAAGGTGCACCTAAAGTGACTTAGGTAAATTCTGATTCATTGAATGGGCATCATTTACAGAGGTGCTTCCCAAAAGCCAGGCTACAGACTGTGTTCTTGTTGGACAAATAAAAAGTAATCTAAGGATGCATCACAGGAGTATAAATCCAGCAATCTTGAAACAGATCTGGGATGGGGCCCAGACATCTGAATTTTTAATGTTCCCAACCAACTCCTGCATATGGCCAAGTAGTTGTGCCTCTGAGGGACAACTGGGATTGATTCCAGGACACTCCATGAATACCAAAATCTGCGATGCTCAAATCCCTTATGTAAAATGGTTCAGTATTTACATATAACTTGCATATATGCACCTGTATACTGTAAATCATCTCTAGAGTACTCACAATGCCAAGGCCTCACTATATGATACATGTCAGCAACAGTGTAAGAAAGGGAGGAAAGGAAAAAAGAACCAGAACGGGGCTCCACCAAGCACTTTCCCAAGCAGGTCCATTTTTAGAAAAAAAAATACATATGGAAGTTGACGATTTGGAAATACCCTTAACTCCACCTTGGATATGCTTTGTGTGCCACTAGCTGAGTGCTTTCCCCCATCCACCCAAATCTGATAGTGAAGCTGGCTTAAAGCAGGGCGGTTCCTATGCACATTGTAGTTTGTAGAGTGCTCTAAATGAGAGGGAGGGGCTAACTGGGTCAGTGGAGGAGTCAATGGCAGATTAATAAGGGTCCTTAAAAGTCCTTGAACTCCCCTGATTTCTTGCCCTTCCCAATGTCTAATTGTTCAGCTTCCTTTGGAGTCAATACTTTTCTGAGTGGTACTGAGGTTTGAATTTAGGGCCTCGAGCTTGATAGGCAGGTGCTCTGCCAGTTAAGACATGCCTCCAGCCCCCTTGATTTAATACTATATCCAGCATTATAATTTCCCTCCCCTCTCCCAACTCTTCCACGGGTGCCACAAGATAGATACTTGCTTTTTAAATGTCCTTTGGTTAGATTCAACCAAAGTGCCTCGCAGAGTGCTTCATCCACTGAGGGTGCACACAAAGTCATCACTGGGTTTTGGTGCATAGTCTCCAAAGAGTTTCTCCTGAATGACATCTCCTTGGACAAAGCTTTTATGTACAGCATTTAGAGGAGGTCAGTTGGTGCCTTCTCCAAGGCGGGCTTGAGGATATAGCATGAATTCAGCTCACATGATTTGGAGCTGAATTAAACCTGGTTTTACACCCTTTCTCTGACATCCACTTATTTAACAAATATTTATTGAACAGTCATTGTGGAGGAGCTCTTTTAAGACCTAACATTATACTTAACCTTTCTGAATCTCAGAGTCATTTATTGCTGTCTGAATATTGTTTGCGTTACTCAAGATAACATATAGAAAGTAACTGGCAGCCTGGACTATTAAACACTCAACAAGTAGGAGTTCCTCCCCCATACTGCCCAATCCCACACGCCTCCCTGGGCATTGCATATGATAGATAAGAAGCCTCTGGGAGCAAATGGCCCAGGATTAGTGTCCTCTCTCTGGCCTTTGAAAAAAATGAATGAAAAACACAGGAACCTGAGGATGTATGATGAGGCCATTTAGCACTTTTGTCCTTTAGGCTAGATTTACTTGTAAAATTTCCATTCTAACATAATAGAAGAAAGGAAATGGATTAAGAAAGGAGTCCTAGAGAATCTCTCATCGACAACCTTTATTTTTACATAAGAAATGTTAAAATACACTGGAAGTCCATAAAGTCTCCTTGCAAGGATTTATTGGTGGAGCCTGGATTCCATTCTAGGTTTGCAAACCCTGGTCTAATGCTAATGGCATATCATTTAGTCTTGTCCTCTAACAACCACCACCACAGCTTGACCTTCCACCCCAAGGTTAAGGGCAGTGCAAGGATATTATACCTCATAATCACCACTTATTTCCAAAAACCACCTCAAATTTGCATATACTCAAGCAAATCAGCCTGCTTGCTTTTCTACATGGTTTCAAGTTCTTCCAGTTGTCCACCCCCCACTACACAAATAGAGTGCAGTCCCCAACCCTCTTCTATGTAGAAATTCTGAAGCCATCACTGGAAATGAGTCCTCGCATGTAAAACAGTGAAGGCCATTGTCCTCTAGTTGAACCTGAAGTCCCTATCCAAATGGGAACTGTGTGATTTTCCTTGGAAGGAGACACTCTGGATTTCCAGTATGAGTCATAAGGCCCAACTACAATCCTAGTTTCTTCTTCAGTGTAACTAATGCAGTCCTTTCTCTTGGCAATATCCATGACTTGGGAAGGAGGAAAGAGGAAGAAAAGAAAGGGGAAGATCTTCTCATGACCTTCTCGCATGAAGAGGCTGCACTCAGGAAGGGGAAGATGGCTCCCTCCTGTGTGCTAAAGACCTGGCCATGTCTGAGCATCACTGGACTGCTGAAACTCCCTCATCTGTTATTCATCCAGGCCCTTTTGGCTCAGGTACTCTGGGTGGAATAAACAAAAAAACAGATTGGTGATAGCAAGGCTTGCCCAAGATCAAAGGGGAAGGATAGACCCCTGTGTGTGTTTTGACATCCTTATATCTCTAAAAATGTGCGTGCTGAGTGACAGCCCAATTCTATACAGGCAGGAAGAGCTCACACATACCTCCTCAACCCCCTGCAAACATACTCCAGTGTCCTCAGCTATAATTAAATAATTTTGAAAAAAAATTTTAAAACATAAATGCCTTTGACAGCTTTCTGCCTCCCCAGCCTGCACTCTGGTACTTCTCCACCCACCACCTCTGCAATGGAAGGTTATGATTTATGAGGGAGACATTGGCCTTGGGTTGACTTCATCTGAGACAGGGCTGGCTGCCTTTCCCAAAATGAACCTCCCCCATCTGGAACATGGTTCTCCTCTTCCTAACTTTTCTCTTTCTAGCTTTGCAGCCAGAAAATAAGTGTCCTTTGGTAAGGCTTCTGTGACAGCCTGGTGATACCCCTTCCTGTCTCCAGCTGCCCAACTCTTCCCTGGACAACTCTGCAGAATGCTGTCACCCTTCTTTCAGGTCCCCTATCTCCCTGCTGCCTCTCTATAGCTTCAGAGGCAAGCGGAGGCAAAGAAAAGCCTCATAAAAGAACGCTTCAAAGACCAAAGTCCTTTCTTTCTTTTGACTGAAGATGAATCTCAGAAACAGGAATTTAACTTAAAAGAGGAGACGGGGGTGGGTGACCAAAAAGAAGACAAGGAGACTTCCCTTGGTCTCACAGTTCACAGTGGGACCTTGGATCTGAGCTATTTGTGTACTGAGGGGGTCCTTCTCCCTCCCAGTCTCTCTCTCTTATCTTCCCTCTCTTCTCCTCCCCTTTGCTTCTCTCCTTTCTTACTTTCCTCCCTTCTGTGTGCAGGGATGGTGGAGGGGGATATGATTGGGAGGATGCAGATGACAAGTGGGAAAGAATATACAAAAAGCAAAAATGGGCTTCAAGTCTCCAGGAAGTGGATAGGGAATGGAAATGTCCAGGCAGGAGCCCAGACTTCCATCCTCCTGAAAGTGACCTTGTACACACACCACAGTTGAGAGACTCATCACTAAAGAGTCTGCAGGAAGCCCATTTTTCATTGTTAGAACTGACGCAGGCACTTTGAGGATCACACTCACACTCACACACACACACAAAAACTGTTTGAGTCAGAGTATAGTATAGATGCTATAGTCCATCTGGCAAATCCTTTCATTTTCCAGATGAGAACTATGTGGTCTTGAAAAGGAAGATGACTAATGGAGTGTTCTATATAGCTCACACACATTATGTGAACTTCCGATTTCCCAGATCAGGCTGTTTAGAACAGTGCTCTCTCTCTCTTTTTTGCTGTTTTCTGTGGTGAATCGAAGGGCAGAGTCAGCCTGATCCTTGAGCTGCAGCTGGAGAAGTAGGTACAGGAATGCCTTCATTCCTCCCATCTACTCTCTTTGAAAATTAAGCATAGCCTTCAGGCATCCAAATCCTACCCCTGTTCCTGACAAATTGAAAGGTTATTTTCCGATGAAGTCTCCTCTAGACTGTAAGGTTACTCCTTCTCTGAAGCTCACCTCAGTTACACCCAAACCCTTCTTGTCTTGTGATGGGTAGCTTCCTACAATGTGGTTTAAATACATTTGTAGGCTGGGCATGGTTACTCATGCCGACTCATGCCCGTAATCCCAGCTACTCTGAGGCAGAGATAGAAAGGATCACAGTTTGAGGCCAGCATGGGTGAAAGGCTATCAAGATCCCATATCAACAAATAAGCCAGATGTGGTGGTACATGACTGTAATCCCAGGTATGTGGGAGGCCATAGATAGAAGGATCACTGTCTGAGGCTAGCCTGAGGGCAAAAATCTAAGACCTTATCTGAAAAATAGCTATAAAGAAAAAGGGTT